TTTATTTTTGAGACAGAGTCTCACGAAGTTATCCAGGCTGGCCTTGAGATCCTTCCTTATTATAGGTGTGTACCATCATATGTGGCAAAAGTATATTTCTTATAGGTTACAGGTCACTTTGCCTTAGCTTCCAATTCAGCAATAAATTGCATGTAGCAATAAACTCCTTGTGGGGGTTTCTTCTCCTTTTGTTTGTGCGTTCCCTTGCTGTGCCTTTTCTAGTACCTGGCATTGCTGCTCAGTGAGCTTGGATTTCCCATCAGACCGCACAAGATGTTTTCATGGATTACACAGACTGGTACTGAGAGGACTGTAGAATGTCAGCAGTAGTCTGACAAATGAGCATTGTTAATGTTCTTTGGAGACTGTGTGAGTTCCACTTGTGCTGAGCAGCAGAGAACTTAATTATATTTTGTATCTAAGGAGAATGAATGCTGATTCTTTATCCCTCATAAATCTTTTCAGCTCTTTGCTTGCCAGCTAAACCTTCCAGGATTGTTTTCTTCTATCTTTAAACCTCAGCTTTTAGTATATAATAGTGAAATCCTTAAGTGGTGCAAAGAGTTCATTCAAAGAGACAGGCCTAGGTTCCTGTTGTCTTGGAAATACTTGATTTTTTATTAAGCAGTTTGAAAGCATTGCAGATTGACCTTTCCATGTTGTATTTATCCCATTTTTCTGTTCCTTATTAAAAAATTGAATGAACTGGGCTTGGTGATGCATGCTTGTAATCTCAGCTCTCAAGAGGCTGAGGTAGGAGAATCACAAGTTTGAAGCCATCCTGAGTTACAACAGTGAGTTCAAGGTGAGCATGAACTAGCAAGACCCTGCTTTAAAACAAAGAGACAATAAAAAATATTGAAAGAATGATTAATACATATAGAAAGTAGTGGAGGGACAAAAAAGGTTTCTACCACAGAGGACCCATTCAGTGTTAGCCCCCCCCGGTACTTAGGACAAGGTCTACAGGGTTTCCCTACGTAGTTTGGACTCAGTGATCCTCCTGTTTTCAGCCTCCCAAGTGCTGGGATTACAGGTGCGCATCACAAATGCTCAGTCTCAATTGCTGTCTCAGTGCGCCCTGGAGGCTGGGGCTGGCACGACACACCAGGGATCGAACCCTGGCCGCTGCGATCTGCCTAAGCAAGCGCTTTAGTCTGCTGAGCTATCAGGCTGGCCATCAGTATTAGTTTCTGTGAGGAAGATCACAGAGCTTTTAACTGTGCCAGCAGAAACTGACCTAGGCAAAATGGTACTCAGAATGGTTTGGGGTTATATTTGAAGAGGTCATAACCGCTGAGACTAGTATAAAGGAAAATTATTGCTTAATTTTCTTTTTCCCTAGGAGCTAGAGGAATGAACCACATGAAACAAGGCACTGTTTCCTTCATTCTCATTTCCAAGCTCATAGAATTAAAATGACAGATTTTAATCTGTCCTTTGTCTCCCACATCTAGGAGCGGAAAAAGAAATTTGAAAAGGATGGTGAGAAATTTTATTCTTTGTTGGACCGGCACTTACATTTATCATCTAAAAAGAAAGAATCTCAGTTACAAGAGGTATGTTCCCAAAGCCTGCCCTTGCTTCTCGCTGCCAACTCAGCCTCAGACATGGTGATGTTTTCTGATCACAAGATGTTCCCCATCCTGTCTCAGCATAGAACCATGTGCCATCAGCATGAGTGTTAGAACAAGACCCTCTAAGTTCTTGAGCCAGCTACTCCACTATTTACCTGTGTGATCTTGGATGAGGTACTTCATTTATGGCTTCATTTCTTCAGTGTGAAAGACAAAGTAAAGCAAGAAGACTGGCACTCCAATGACTGACTTCCAGAGCCATTTTTTTTCCCAGTTTCTGTGTTTTGTGCAGGGTCTCACTATGCAGATCTGACTTATGGTGATCCTCCTGTTTTCAGCCTCCCCAGCGCTGGGATTACAGGTGTGTGCCACATGCCTGGATTCTGTCACCTGCTCAGCATGCCCTGGTTGGTGGGGCTGGCACAGCATGCAGGACTGGGGATCAAACTGTGGTCCCTGTGATTGCCAAAGCAGGTGCTTAGTCTACTGGGCTATCTCACTGGCCCTCCAGAGTCATTTATTTGGGAGATCAGGAGCAGATCTTTTACTTTTTTATCCTGACATAAATCGTTAATTTTGTTAGGCAGTGGGAGGCTGATAGGACAGCTACTTATATATGGGACAAATAATGACTATTGTTGAAATAAACCAGCATTGAGTGCTTACCTTTCACTTGTCCTTCATCACTATGCTGGCTGCAGTAGCCTACAGAAGCAGTAAGACAAAGTTCCTGTTCCTCCACAGCTCACAGTTAGGATGTTTAGATAAGAATACACATTACTATTAAATAAGCAGAATATGAGATAGATAGATAGATAGATAGATAGATAGATAGATAGATAGGCCTTGCTTCACAAACTCAATTCTGTCCATTTTTCTGGTTACAAACTGAACTGGTTAAGATCTGAATCAACTTTCTCTTAAAGGTGAGCATTGAGCCTAACCATTGAATTTGATTCCATTGTTATCCAACTCAGTTTGCACCCAGAATCATGGGAAGAGCCAAGTGTGTGAACTGAGGTGTGTGGGAGTGTATCTTTTGCCCCGCCCCACACACTTCTAAATGTGTTCTCTGGATGAGGAAGTGCAAAATTGAAGGCATATTTGGATGTGGACAATTGCCTTTTTGGAAGAATGTTGTCTTTTGAATTTGGGATGGTCATTCAAAAACAGGTAGTATTTGACAGAAATGGAGAAATTGATCTTTAAAGTGGATATTTATGTGCTGTAATTGTGGTCCCTGATGTGGTGGTGTGGAGCAGAACCTTTAAGGAGGTGGAGCCTAGTGGAAGGTGGTTAGGTCCTTGGAGAGACTACTCTTAGAATGTTCTCTGGATACCACCATTAGAGTCCATGAGAGCAAGTGCTTATAAAGAGTGAGTCTGAGAGCTGAATCTCTCTTGCTTCTGGTCTCAGCAAGTGAACTCTCCCTTCTGCATGTAGTCTGTTCCCTGCTCATTTCTTAGCCATGTGGCCAACTGTTTACTCACTGGAGACGATGTATCTGCCTCATCCTGGTTTTCAACCTCTAAAATTGTGACCTAAATAAACCTCTTTTGTTTATAAAGTACCTAGCATGAAGTATTTTGTTATAGCAACAGAAAATGGACTAGTACAAGATTATTAGAAACCATCTTGGCTCCTCTTCTGCTACCTGGCTTAATAGGTCTCACATCACATGTGAGGTGCTTGAAGGTTGTGTCATGACCCTCAGTGGTGGATAGAGTTAGTGTTACATAGCAGAAAAGGTCTACTTCTTTTCCTCAAATTGGAATTAAGTCTGGGGGCTTGCACTATCTTTCTTTTGCTTACTTTTGTTTTTGTTGATTTCTGTTCATTCTATGCCAGGGTTCTTGGGCAGAAAAGAGTTAACATCACAGAACTGGGACTGCTATGTTTGGAAAGGCCTATTGATGAGTGTATCTCTTGGCTGGCATCTCAGCACTTGAATGTTAAACAATTCTCTACACTGATATAAAAGTTTCCCCAAATGATAAGAGTGGCTCAGTACATATAAACTGCCTATATGAATAATGTGGTTTATACAGAAAAATGTATTTTATCAGCTTATATTTCTTCAGAGAGCCTAGAATTTTGCTATATGCTAGGCCCCAAGAACAATTTAGGGAACTCAGTCTCTACTGAGCTTATGTGACAAATAGCATTTTTACCTGTGTAGTTATATAGCTCCTCACAGGAGTAGTTGTCTGCCATGTGTGACAACATTAAGAGATCTCTTGTAAGCTTCATTTGATTTCCTTTGAACTATAGCCAGTGTACCTTTTCTCTTTGTATCCTTTCACTGTGACTGTGGCTATGTGTTGTGTCTTTTGAGTCCTGTGAATTTCTAAACGTGGAGTTGGTCTTGAGGATACTGGACACAATCCAAACTTTTACAAGCTTTCCTATGAAGGTTTCCGGAGGGTTCTGTTGTCCTTGTTGCTTTCCTGATAAGTTAACCTTCCACCTTTACTATGTTCATTAAAGAGTAACAATGTGGATTTAGGGTTAGACACCTTTTCTGATAAAGAAATTTCATTTTAATAGCAGTATTATGTTTATAAAAAAACTTCATGGAAGGTACAGAGATAAAGTTCTAGTTCCCTCATACACATTTTCTACTATTAACATCTTGTATAATGTGGCACAATTATTGCAATTGATGAGCCACTGTGTTGTATAGTCTGTGGATTTTGTTACCTGTGTAATGACATGTATCTAGTATTACAGAATCATACAGTATTCTCTCAGTGCCATGAAAATCCCTCTGCATTCTTCTATTCCTCTTCTCTAATCCCTGGAAACCCTTTTTCTTTTCATGGACTTCTTTTGTGACTTTCACACAGTTGGAAATATTAGTATGTAGCATTTCAGGTTGCCTTTTTCACTTAGCAATATGTTTATTGTTCCTCCGTGTCATTTCCCGAATTGATAGTTTATGTCTTTTTCAGGCTTAATAATATTCTGCTGTCTTGATGTACCACTGTTACCTGACACAAAAGTCTCAAAAGAGAACAAGGCTTTCTGAAAATACAACAAAGACATTATAAGCAATAAATCTTAATGAGAGAATTGTTTGATCTCTCAGGTTGGCAGTGGAATTCTGAGAATTAGTGGCCTCAGCTGTGGTGTTATCGTGCCTTAGAGATGTTACAGTGTAACAGGTCTCTACTATGAATATTGACCCTGGAGAGTTCTGTTTCTGCATGCCAGTTGCTGGCTGATCAGGCAAGTTATTTAGGCCTGAGAAGGACTCATAAGTTAATATAGAAAGCCAATTAGTTAATTCTGAAGCTTGCCCAGCACTGTCTCAGTGTGGTCTCCATCACTTTGAAAGTAGCTGTTCTGGTTTTCATTCCTGTCATCAAAGAGTAAGACTTTCCATCTTGTCTCATTCTTGTCGACATTTTTGGAATTTAGCCATTTTAACAATTATGTAATTATTTATGATTGCTATTTGTAACTTGCAGTTCCTTGATGGCATATAATGTTGCATATCTTTCCTTGGTTTTAGTTGCCATTATGTTCTCTGGTGTAGTGTCTGTTGAGCTACTTTGCTTAGTTGTAAATTGAGTTGTTTATTCTCAAATTGTCATATTTTTTCCCACAATTTTATTGAGAAACAAATAGCAATGAGACAGTTTCAAATCAAATTAGTAGGACAGTTTCAATAACTAGTACATTGCATACAGTCTACCTAGTGGTTATTTGCTGTACAAGATACAGACATGATATCCTATTTACAAACACTAATAAGAACAAATCCCTATATTCATTGAATTAAGAGAATGTAGCTATATATCTATCTTAACCATTTTGAATACACAGATACAAAATGGTCATTCATCTGTATCCCCTTTTCTTGTTTAGTTCCCTCTTTTAAATATTATAGGTGTGTGAATTCAACAAAATTTTCCAAAATAGTCCAGTAGTCAAATAAGAGTTTTGGGTCTTCTGTATGACTGGCAATATCAGAAGTTGTTGATCTAAGTCTCCTACAACTTAACATAACAACATGGCTTTACTTCTTATACTTCGTTTTTATACTTTTCTGCTGGATGGTTAAAACCAAGATAAAGCAAGACCTATGTAAGAAGAATTGTAGCTTTTGAATCAGATAAGGTCAGTGAAATCCCCTCAGGATTTATCCTGAGATCCTGTACATCAGTTCTTGGATCCTTTGTCAGTGTCAGCCATGTGGATGAGTCACGGCCATTGCTTGGCCAACTTGTTCTCTGTGAAAGCCTGAGAGAATGTTTTCTCTCCATGTGACTCTCCTTAGGCACACTCTACATCATCGATTACTTTCCTATTTAGCCCCATAATCTCCTTTATCAGAAAATTTGGTACACAACTGAGTTACATGATGTTACAGTACAAGTTCTCATATGTCCTGAGTCTTAATTGTCCTTGAAAGGCTAGGGACAAAATGTTGACTGTCCTTGTGGCCCTTCTTTTTCTCTAATTTTGGTCTGCAAACTTGGGTTGCTAACCCTCCAGAAGAGATGCTTATTGTTATTACCATACAACCTAGGCTGTTGAGCTTAACGTTACTGTCAGAATATCAAACATCTTAGGCATAACATGGAACAGGTATTTTTCATCAAGTATTGATATGTTGAACTTTAAATCCCTACAGAATATGATGAAAAAAACATTTAAAAAATTAAAATATATTTAAAAAATAGGAATAAAGATTATATGTTTACACATAGGTCCAGAAATCTAACCATTTACAGCATTGTAGTAGGACAGTTCCACAACACTACTTTTCCTATCTCTTGCCTTCATTCACCACCCTCTTCTTTTTGAACAATCATCTACCCGAGCAACAGCACAGCAGCGCAACCGGCATGTCATGACAAGCAGCCTGTATTCAGAAGACCAGCATGACAGGCACTCCAAGCATGAACCTACTGTTACACATTGCCATCCTCAGTGCAGTTGCTTAGTTCACAGGTGTCAGCATATATAGAGGTAGG